ACCATTACCCCATTAAAGCCTAAATTTTTTTTTTAAATATTTGTAATATCTTTGGAAAAGTGTCAAAGATTTGTACCAAGGGTACACTACACTTTCCAAATTTATTTTCGTAGTTATTATTGCTATGAGTGCTATGAGGGTTTTTACCTTTGTAAACGTCAAAATTGATAAGATAGCCATCAGAAGTATTTAGACTGCATACTTTATATCCAAATCTAATAGGATTATTTCGAATGCATTGCTTGCAACAGTGCTTACCAAAAATTCTATCACTGTCTCATCAAAACTAATATGTTGTTTGGGCTCATACAGTTCTGCAAATTTATTTTGTAATATATTTGCCAATGGTTTTAGTTTCCACATTTTATCTACCGATGATTGAAATCTATTATCTGTAAGGTGTAAATATCGTGAAATTGCAATAAAACGATCCCTTCTCATAGAATTGCAAACAAATTCTTTGCTCAGATCCCCTCGTAAGTCCCAATCAAGAAACACTTGATTGAGTTTGATCCCACTTGTTCACTCAAGAAAAAAAAATCATTACAAATTTCTCAATGACATAGGGGAGGGACGTCGAAGATGACGCACCTAAGCAAAATACATTTTATTTAAGGGTAAAAAATATTTAAGCTAACTTTGAATGCTACGAGCCTGTAATTTGAACACTTCTATAACCAATTTCTAGGATTATTTTTAAATTCAATAAAAGGAAGTATTTTTTATGCGGCTTTTTTAAAAAACGCTTTTGCGCCCTCTTACCTTCCACCGAGGGAAAGATGACGCACAGTGATGGTGAAGATGGTGCATGTAGGTATCTATATTAAAAGCGCAAGTGATATGAAAAGAAAATTTATTTTTTAATACTGAAAGTAAGAAAATGTAAACAAAGCTTTTTTAACATATTAACAAAAGTCACAAATGTAGTTTTCGGGACTTTTGGCTCCACTGCATTCTTTATGCACCCATTGTCCACAACTTGTGCATCTGAACCATGTTTCCGTCTTTTTGCCGAAGTCTCCACATAATATGCAGATATCAGTTTCACCTCCCTCGTTGATTATGTCATCCAACTCATCGTCATTGCAAAGACCTTCTTCATCAAAATCGCTTTCTTCAGTATCGCTATCCTCCTACAAGATTTTTTTGTTTATTTTTTGTTTGATTATTTTTTATACTTTGGCTTTCCCTTTATTTTTATTTAGTTTTAATCCTGCATCATTAACCAATACTTGTCTGGTTACTTTTTTCTTTTCTTCTTCCGACTTCGCCAGTTTTTCTTTTTTTTTTATTCTCTTTTTCGTCTAAGAATTCTTTTAAAGGGGTGCTTGTTAGAATTTCAGAATGTTGCTTTTGTCGTCCATATTTTCTTTTAATTTTTTTATTGGGCAAAGGAACTGGAGAAATAAGTGAAAGAGAAATATGTGGACGTTTGGTTATTTCATTTTGTTTTGTGGGGGTTGTGTGACGACTTTCAGGAGACTGTCGGCTGGTTGATGGACGTGGTAATTCTGGTTCTCTTATAGATGGTGTTGTTATTAGTGGAGGTGTTCCCTGAGGTGCAGGTTCAGGAGAAACATCTCTATCCAAGCTATCATTGTTTATATTATCAGCAGGAAAAAAGTCATCTTCTGTGAACTTATCAGAGTTTAACGGAAAAATTCCGCACGTTCCGAAACCAGAAACTGCCTTATCAATATTTGCCACCTGATCATATGCTAACTTAAAAATCTCGGCGAGATCATATGGAGTAATTTTACCTTCAAACTCTGAGTTGCTGATCTTAGATTTTAGAAAGGAATTGCAATGGCGACCATACGCATATTTCAATGCAGAAAAAAATGACACATCAAGAGGTTGTAATTTGTGGGATGTGTGGGGTGGAATACTAACCATTATAATCCCATTCTCTTTGCAGTATGTAATTATAAATATCCAGTGAAATATGGCTCGAGTGATTATCTAATACTAACAGCACGGGATTATCTGGAGTAGACAGGACTTTTTTTTGGAAATTCTTCAGCCATAATAAAAACATAGACGTATTACTCCATCCATTATCCGTGCAGTTGTAAATCGCACCGCTTGGTCCATTTTTCTGAAGCTGTGGGCTCATCCTCTTCCTGGGAAATATAAATAATGGAGGTATGTAGTTACCGGAGGCACTGAACGCCATTATTACCGTGATATTCTTCCCTCGTTCCCACGAAGAAATGATTCCAAACTGCTTTACTCCTTTGGGTCCAAGTCTTTTACATGATTCTTTAGGAACCGTAGATATACCGGTTTCATCAACATTGTAAATGCGATCTGGCAGAAATTTATATTTTTCTGGCACTGTTTCCAAATTTTTAAAATAGCGGTCTACTTCTATTTTATTGAAGGCTGTTATTCTATTAATGCTTGTAGCTTCTGGCTTTCCCAAGGAAATTTGAGGATGTCGTTTTATAAATCCTAGATACCAGTCTTTTCCAGCCATTTGTTTATTCTTAATAAAATTGTGTTTAATTTCATTGCGTTCTGCATAAGCAAATGCCATGGTTCTCAGCTCTATGCAAGTGATACCAAAAAATAAATTGACCAGCTTGAGAACATGATCTAGTATCTCCTTTTCATGATGTGCCGAAAACAATGGGGCTCTACCAAGAGACTCTGATTTGACTTCCTTTAATAAATTTTTAACCTTAAGTTTTCTCCTCAATGTAGCTTCTGGTATTGAAAATGCCCTTGCCACTTCCCAAATTTTACGACCATCTCTACAAATTGCATTCAATGCTGCATTAAGAGCTGCTGCAGAAAATGATCCTCTCTGTGTTTTTCGTATATATTTTCCCATTTTTAAAAAAGAAAAAGATGCCTCAAAATGCAAAATAGACACTAAATAATAAATATTCTATACTCCATTGTTATTTAAGGTAATGAACTGAAAAGGCAAAGATGACGCACTATAACAGCAAAGATGACGCAGTCTGCGTCAACTTAGCCTGTTCAGCATAACCTACAAAAAATGGTTATCAAAATTATCCATCATCAAATATTTAACGGATAAATCCTCGCTAACTGAAAATAAATATCACCTACTCCCATGAATATGAAGAAAATCCAATGGAACCATTTTTAAACAACTTACCATTAATATTCGCAGTGTCAAAAATAACAAGAAATCAACGTGTATCGCGTTACTCTGCCTCACAGATACTAAACAGTACGAAAGCTAACCGATGAAGTTTTAAAGTAATAGTAGTTTCTAAAGGAGGGCGCCACGGGTATAAAAACTGAATTTAGTGAAGTACTTGATAAAATACAGAGGTGCGTCATCTTAGACGTTGCGTCATCTTCCCCGTCCTTCCTCTAATTCAGACTAAAGGAAAAAATTATTAAAAATAATGTTTACCTACCCCTATGCTTACCTTCTTTTTTATTAAGTATTTTTCCATTTTTCTTCCCACGAGTTGGGTCGAATCTTCGGTCCAGCGGGGCAGTGCGCCCATACTCCGCCAAGGCTATAGTCCCCTTCGGTTCGCCTTCTCCTTAGGGCATCGCTTGAGACCCATTTTTCCCCTTGGGCCAGGCACCTCTTCGGCACGAAGTGTTACACCTTGAGGTTAGGGTGGCGATATATTGGAATGATGCATAACCGCCTGTTCTATGCATATCCAATTGTTCTCAGTGGTTTTTTCCACTGGTTTTTGTATTAGTGGAGGTTTTCTCCTCGGGTATAGGTTTGGGTATCAGGACATGTATGATGGGTAGGGGTGGGAATCGTATGACACAGGGACATGTTAGGAATTTGGGTAGTTGACAACGGACAGCTGCTCCATTTAGTCGCCTTTTACGACAAGCAGGAGAAGCCGTGAAGGTATTCTACTTGAGTGACTGAAAGAATAACTTTCATAATAGAATAGCTAGTAAGTATCTAATCTTACGACAGTCAAAATAACGCAAAAATTAACAGAATTTACCGAGAACCATATTGCAAAAGATTTTTCCTTTTTAAAATAAATTTAAATAAAAGCGTTGGGAAGTTAGGTATTGTAGATAGTTTTGTCTTCTACAATGATAACAATTCAAAGCTTTCGCACAAATTGTTATATAATGGCTATTATGTAATTCAATATAAGGTTGAATGCTCGAATAAATGAACTTTGATGGTATACAAGGCAAATATCGAACACGGTATTAATTAAATCTTGCCCAAGTACTTTCGATCACTAGATCATCCTCAGGGGCATTTCGTCAGTTGTGGCCTATCTGACAAGAGCAGAATGTTATAAATGTAAAATGGGACATAACAATACACTACACAAAGACAAACACTTCAAAAATTTTGAAGGATGGCGAAGCTACATGGTATATAGACAGAATCTTCTGTCTCCGGCAGGAAGGTAGTTAATAATATATTTCTGTAATTTAGTTTTCCTTATTGAGTTCAGATCCGTAAACATGATATTCACAATAAAGAAGAACTTAAAACTTCTCTTCTAGAAAAATGGAGTAACTAACAAGACGTTTATATAAATTTTACCTGCTGTTAAATTATGGTAATGAAGTGGAGATTGGCGATTTTTATTGTGAGCATTAGTATTAACAAATACCCACACTAATTTTTTAAAATTTCTTGAGTTGTAAGACTTTTGTTTAAATTATTTTCATTCTTATTTATGTTAAAAGTTGTGTTGCAACATTAAGTTTATTAATTTTAAATGTAGATATTTTTCGCAATAAACATATTTCCAACGAATGATCATATTTACTCTGAGCCACTGTATAAGTTATACCGTTGATTGAAATACGATTGTACTACAAAGGCATACTAATTAGCTAAACATAAAAGAAGTAGAAAACTAATTATATTTTTGGAAAAATGTTTACACTGTTAATGTCAAAATGATTGGGAATGTTGGCCGCGTTTATTAATTTTTTGGGAAAAAATAACTCTCTTTATTTTCCTGTAACTCGTTAACAAGTTCCAATAAAATCCTTCCTCTTGTTCGAGGTACCTTGGCCATAACGTCATTGTTTGATTTACTGAAGACAATAAAGTAATAATAATTGAAATTATAGTCTAAATTAAAATTAGATATTTTTAAACTTACCTTTTTAATCCTGGCAGTTTCGACATATTTATAAAAGTCAGAATAGATCATGTATACCACAACCACATGTATTTATACACACAGCAAAACAAATTTCTTGTGTGTGTGTGAGTTTGTGCATCATTGGCTTCGGAGACTCTGTCCATTCGCCATCTTACCTTTATGGGATAATTTTGTATTTTTTATTCGGAAGCAATAAAGGAGTGCTCCTTGCTTTCTTCTCGTTTGCTATACCATCATAGTCCTGCTCTAATTTTACAAAGAATTATTTCCTATATATCTAATTTTACAATTATACCTTGGACTTGTATTACTCTTATAACATATATTCAGCTTGTTTTGAATTATTTACTTTTGTTGTGTGTGTTTTTTTTAATTTCTTTTTTTCTTTTTTTTACATACATTTATACATATATACATACATATAATTATTATTTTTTCTCATCTTTTTATCTTATATAATTTGGGATATTAGACTAGGATACAATTTGACGCTCAGGGGTCGATCAGAGCATTTAGACGAGACAGGTGGACCTCGGATAGACTTAGGGCTTTGCACGAAGGGGAAAAAACATAGGTTATAAACTTAATCTAATACATAAAATATGTTTATACAAAATTTGATAAATATTACAATCTTCTGAACTTAATAATTGGGTTAGGTTATATGATTGGATGATTTTGGGTATTTTGGTTATTTCTTCATTTAATATTTTTACTTCATTACTTATTTTAGGACAGCCTAATATCATGTGCTCTGTTGTACCTTCTTCTCCGCATGGACAATTAGGAGAATCACTTAATTTTATTTTATATTTATACTGCGGAGTTAAAACATGGTTGAACCTTAATCTGCACAATACAGAGAAAAACCGCTTACTTCCCGACAGTCTTGAGAACCAAGATTGGCGAGGAGGCGGTAACTATGTTTTTATAAAATTTTCCTTTTGGACTGCTTCTATACATTTCTCTCCATTCTGTTAGTAATATGGGCTTTACGCGGCGAGCAATTTCATTGTGAGGACATTTATACTTTAAATATTCTCCTGTTCTACTTCCTATTTTAGCTTCTTCGTCTACTTCTTCATTTTCTTTTATTCCACAATGCCCTTTAATCCAAACAAGTGATACATTAATTTTTTGAGATTGTAGTTCATGAAGTTTAGTAATTATTTTGGTAAAAATATAATTACTATTGACCTGGTGGATATTTTTTATTTTGATAACAGCACTTTTACTATCTGAACAAATTGCAAATGATTCTTCTGTAACTTTCATATTACTTATATATAGAAGAGCTTCTAATATCGCGATTAATTCTGCCGTATATATTGTTAGTTTTTCATTTAATTTATAAGATTTTTTTATGTTATTATGTGAATCAAATATAGCGCAACCTACTTTATTGTTACTCTTTGATGCATCAGTGAATATATATTGACATCTGGGAAGATACTTTTCTAAATCTTGCTTAAATATGTATTGTCTAATTCTTGGGTGAAATTTTGAATAATCTTGGAGAAAAACACAGTTAATTGGTTGGGTATTGTAAATATTTATGCTATATAATGGATCTATATCTGAAGAGTGTATTTCTTCTATTACGTTATGTATTACACAATATGACTCTGTAATAGTTAAACTTTTTTTCGACTTCCAATAACTATGGGTAAGATCCGATGTGAACAGTATAATAATTTTTTGGACTAAGTCGCTTTTTTTTGGAGCTTAATTTAGCTATAAAATTGGAAGCTAAAATCTTTCGGCGATATTTTAGTGGAGTTTCCGCTACTTCTGCAAATAAACAATCAATCGGTGTACTTTTTAAAGCCCCTAGGCATAGTCTTAGACACTTATTTACTACGTGGTCTATTTTTTCTAGTTGACTTTTTGAAGCTTGGTCGTAGAAGAAACAACCATAATCCAGTATTGACCTAATGTAGGATTTGTACAGAAGGATTGCTACATTTGGATCTGATCCCCATTTTGTTCCACATACTGACCGTAAGATGTTTATTCCTTTTTCTGTTTTCTTGATTAGATAATCTATGTGATTTTTCCATGTCATTTTTTTATCCAGATACATTCCTAGGTATTTTACTGACGCACGTATACTATACTTTGTTGAATCCAATGTTACTTCGGTTGGAATGTTTTTTCTTTTTCTCGTGAAAATGCAAACTTCTGTTTTTTTCCTGGAAATTTTTAGACCATTTTCATTACACCATTTATTGAGGTTCTTATATGCTATATTTAATTTTTTGCACCCTTCTTCAATATATTGACATGGTGAATATATACAAATATCATCGGCAAATTGTAGTATAGAAATGGTCTCACATTAACAAATTTCTTATAAGGTTATATTATATATAACCATCTTATAAAGGTTATATTTACATCTGCACCTTATGGAAGCAAGAAGGAATACCTTCTTAGGCCCCGTATTTATAGTCGGTACTCAAGATCGTGCTCCAGCACGAGCTTCGCCAAGTCGAACTTACGTCAAAGTCATGCTCAAGTATTTGTTGTGTTCTATAAACGATACTTCGGGTATTCTCGTACAAGGTTGATCTCAAGCAAGAAAAAATTAGTACGGTAAAAGTAAATTACGAATAAACGTCGAAAAAAAGAAGATTCTGTCAATTTTCTCATAATTGTGACTAAACTTTTAGCGCCAAATTTAGTTTATGCTTCTTACTGAAATTTTGTGTTTGAAATTAATATTGGATATTAACTATTTTAAGGTATGTAATATGTTATAAAAAATATTTATTCTACAGAATTAATTTCTATTTTGTTACTGTGTCTGAGGCATAATTTTTGATGTTCAAAATATATGCTTAGATGTATATATTTTTTTTGGATATATTTATATGTGTGTAATCCGTTACAATTATTATAATTATATTGCATGTGTAAGCCGTACGCTAAATAAATTGGTTATGTAAATTTTAGATGAGTGGAAATAGCAGTAAATATGCACCTTACTTAACAAAGGAAAGAGTTCTCCGAATCCAGCTGGTAACAGAAAACGGTGTGGTAGAGAACAAAAGGAAAAACTGTTTTCCACTTCAGAAATGGAGAAAAATATGGCTTGGGAGTTCATAACAACAAATTATAACTGCCAGCCTGAGGTCAACATCTTGCTGCCTGATTATACCATCAGGCAGCAAGACGAGATTCATAGGATGAAAATGAGGATTTTAGAAGAAGATATGCTGAGGGCAAAAGCCTTAAGAGAAGCAGCTGAGAAGGAGAGGCAGAGAGCTATTGATGAAGCTGAATTAGCTTCATTGAAGTTAATAGACTATAAAAAGGGTAATTATAGATTTTATCATGTTTGACTTGTCACTGGAATTTGTCTATAATTAATTTGTTTATTTTCAGGCGCTAGAAGATCTTTTTCCTTTGTTGGATACTCTGCAGTTTTAGGGAAAATGTAGGAATAAGCCACAATATGTTTATTTATTGATGTTTTTCAATCTATATTACCAGAGGCTGTTATCATAGATACAAAATTGTGATTTCTTTTCTAAAAATAAATCACAATTTTGTATTTTTGGTAACAATATCTGGTCATAGAGATTAAAACATCAGTAACTATAATATAAAAAACATTGTGGCTTATTCCCAACTGAAGATAGTATTTGGGAAGTGTTAACTCGGTCTTTCAGTGACCTTTTCACTTTAGGAGCACTGAATGTCAGAGTAGGGTCTGTTTTAGCTGGTAGGCATTTGACGTAGAATCAGCGACGAGAGGATGTTTTAAAGTACCTCGGGAACTATCGCCGGAACTACGAAGAATGAATCCTGCACTAAGGTCAGTCAGGCGGCATCCTGGACTGAGATGTCTCAGACCCTCCCCCCTCTATAAAGACGAAAAAAATATACTTTGTGTTGTAAAATCATGGTTTTTTTTCTATTCTCCTTCCTGTTTATTTTATTTCTAGATAGTATTTAATGTAGATTTAAGGTTGTTAATATTTTAATTTCTGCTGGTGAGATATGGTTTCACCTTTTTATTTGTTGTATAGTCTTTTGTTTTTAGATTATGTATGTTTCTTTTTCAGTTCTTTTAAGTATTGATTGCAACATAGTTCATAATATTTTTATGTTATTTACAGGAAATTATTAAAAATTTTTAATAAATTGGTGCTACTTCGATATATATATATATATATATATATATAATATATATATATATATATATATATATATATATATATATATATATATTTCATCCTCGAAAGAGCTTAAACCAGCATTCAAATGAAGCCATCAGTTAAAATTAAATGAACAATAGTATTCTTACTGTTTTTCTTGTATTTTTTTTTGTCTCGTTTCTCATGTTTAGTTTGTAATCTTTAATGTTAAGTTATCATAGAGTTTTTATAACATCCTTTAAAAAATCTACAAATTGTTTTTGTAAGTATGAACCCTGGTGGTTGTTTACTTATATGCTAAAATCTTTTTTATTTGTAGTGAACTGATGATGCTTTTAAAAATAAAAGCGAAACGTATTCAAATAAATCAATAAAGTAGTTGACGACTTTTATTTGCCAATTATTGACCGATAAAACCTCTGATATTCAACCATTGAATATATATTTATATATATATATATATATATATATATATATATATATATATATATATATATATATATATATATATACAAACAACACAGTTTATTAGGGTTGCAGTCAGAATTATTGGCCGGGATGTTAAAAAAACACTCTTTTGACTTTTTGTCGAGCTTTCGGAATATTTTTATTCCTTTTTCAAGACACTGTAAAAGACAATTATGTAAGTATTTAAAAATAATATCACCATTCTTCAGTGTAACTTACTAGTCGTTGAGATTATTTTTGTAAGCATTGAACACTCAACATTAATACCACACATTAAAATATACAATTATGGACATAATACATCATAAAATTTTTAAAAATTTGTTGTTAAAAATAGTAAAACTTGATTGATGGCATGTTTTACTGGTGTATATTAACTCATACAGAGAATG